CAGGTGAGGCGTCCAGCGCAGGTGAGGCGTCCAGCGCAGGTGAGGCGTCCAGCCCAGGCGAGGCGTCCAGCGCAGGCGAGGCGTCCAGCGCAGGTGAGGCGTCCAGCGCAGGTGAGGCGTCCAGTACAGGTGAGGCGTCCAGCTCGGGTGAGGTGTCCAGCCCTGGGTGAGGCGTCCAGCTCGGGTGAGGCGTCCAGCTCAGGGAGGCGTCCAGCTCAGGTGAGGCGTCCAGCGCAGGTGAGGCGTCCAGCGCAGGTGAGGCATCCAGCACAGGTGAGGAGTCCAGCTCAGGTGAGGCGTCCAGCTCAGGTTAGGCATCCAGCTCGGGTGAGGTGTCCAGCCCTGGGTGAGGCGTCCAGCTTGGGTGAGGCATACAGCTCAGGGAGGCGTCCAGCTCAGGGAGGGGTCCAGCACAGGTGAGGCGTCCAGCACAGGTGAGGCGTCCAGCGCAGGTGAGGCATCCAGCTCAGGTGAGGCGTCCAGTACAGGTGAGGCGTCCAGCTCGGGTGAGGCGTCCAGCCCTGGGTGAGGTGTCCAGCTCAGGTGAGGCGTCCAGCTCAGGTGAGGCGTCCAGCGCAGGTGAGGCGTCCAGCACAGGTGAGGCGTCCAGCTCAGGTGAGGCGTCCAGCGCAGGTGAGGCGTCCAGCGCAGGTGAGGCGTCCAGCGCAGGTGAGGAGTTCAGCTCAGGTGAGGCATCCAGCACAGGTGAGGCGTCCAGCGCAGGTGAGGCGTCCAGCGCAGGTGAGGCGTCCAGCCCAGGCGAGGCGTCCAGCGCAGGCGAGGCGTCCAGCGGGTTGAGGTGTCCAGCCCTGGGTGAGGCGTCCTGTGTCTGGTGCAGGGGTGCAGGTCTGGTGCAGGTCTGGTGCAGGTCTGTGCAGGGGTGCTGGTCTGTGCAGGGGTGCAGGTCTGGTGCAGGTCTGGTGCAGGTCTGTGCAGGGGTGCAGGTCTGGTGCAGGTCTGGTGCAGGTCTGTGCAGGGGTGCAGGTCTGTGCAGGGGTGCAGGCGATGCTTGGAGAGAGCAGGAAGTGCGCTTCAGCTGGGTGAGGGCACACACTAAACGTCTAAATGCTGCTGAAGGTTACAGCGCTTGTCGGCGCTTGTGGAATTCACTTCAATTAGAAAAGTGAGTGGAGATGAACAAAGCCCACTGGGTGAACGGAGGCTGAGGACAGAGGCCGTTTGGAGGTCGGAGGTGGCCCCCACGATCTGTGCTGAGCCTCCCCCGCTGTCTCCCTGAGGGTGAGGGGGCTGCCAGGTGGGCAGGGAGGCAGGCAGCCTGACCCCCCCCACCCTTGGGCCTGGAGCGGCTGACGGCCAGAGCCCATCTGCCTGATCCTAAACCCTTGCCTCTTCCTTGTGGCCCAGGGAAAGCCCTGAGCCTCCCGCCTGCCATCCAAGTGTCCTGTGCCGTGGCTTTATCTTGTAAGTGGCGTAGGAAATCGCCAAGTGCTGAAATGATTCCTTACGTCGTGGCCTTTACGGCCCCAAGCTGAGACCCTCTGGGAGTGTGGAGATGGCTCTCAGAGGGTCTGCTGGCCACCTATCTGGCCAGCAAGAGGACGCAGGTGACTTGTGTGTGCCACACGCAGGCTTGCTGGGGTGTAAATCTGCCCAGGCCTGGAAAGGACTGGCCTACAAGTGCCCCAGGAAGGGCTGCCAGGCCCTGTGACGAGACTGCTGGAAGCTCTAGGCGTCCAGCACAGGTGAGGCGTCCAGCGCAGGTGAGGCGTCCAGCGCAGGTGAGGCGTCCAGCGCAGGTGAGGCGTCCAGCGCAGGTGAGGCGCCCAGCCCTGGGTGAGGCGTCCAGCGCAGGTGAGGCGTCCAGCTCAGGTGAGGCGTCCAGCTCAGGTGAGGCGTCCAGCTCAGGTGAGGCGGAGGCGTCCAGCTCAGGTGAGGCGTCCAGCGCAGGTGAGGCGTCCAGCACAGGTGAGGCGTCCAGCACAGGTGAGGAGTCCAGCTCGGGTGAGGTGTCCAGCCCTGGGTGAGGCGTCCAGCTCGGGTGAGGCGTCCAGCTCAGGGAGGCGTCCAGTGCAGGTGAGGCGTCCAGCGCAGGTGAGGCGTCCAGCGCAGGTGAGGCGTCCAGCACAGATGAGGCATCCAGTACAGGTGAGGCGTCCAGCTCGGGTGAGGCGTCCAGCCCTGGGTGAGGTGTCCAGCTCGGGTGAGGCGTCCAGCTCAGGTGAGGCATCCAGCTCAGGTGAGGCATCCAGCACAGGTGAGGCGTCCAGCTCAGGTGAGGCGTCCAGTGCAGGTGAGGCGTCCAGCTCAGGTGAGGCGTCCAGCCCAGATGAGGCGTCCAGCTCAGGTGAGGCGTCCAGCTCAGGTGAGGCGTCCAGCACAGGTGAGGCGTCCAGCACAGGTGAGGCGTCCAGTTCAGGTGAGGCGTCCAGTGCAGGTGAGGCGTCCAGCTCAGGTGAGGCGTCCAGCTCAGGTGAGGCGTCCAGCCCAGGTGAGGCGTCCAGCACAGGTGGGCCAGGAGACAGTAGGCCACTCCGGATCCTGTGCCCTGGAGGTCTGCAGGTGCCCCTCTGAGAGTGAGCAGGGTTTTGGTGGGACCAGGCCCAACCCTCTAGTCAGGTGTGAACTGCGCTCTGTCCCACTGGGTCAGCTAAAGGTCCTGGGAAGGGGCTTCTTCACAAAGCCTTTCTGGCCAACAAGAGAAATGCAGAGAGGCTTCAGAGTGACCTGGGATGGCCTCACCTTGTGTCCTGCGAGAGTGCTGGCCTCCGGACAGGGAGGGAGGACCAGGCCCGGCCCGAGGGGCACGGGGGCCAAGAGGCTGGTCCAGAACCCACCCACATCCTCCTCTTCTGCTCCCTCCGCCTGAGCCTGTGATGGCCTCCTCACCTGTCACCTGCCTGTCTGCTCACTTGACAACGGCCCTTGTCCACACCATGACCTGCCCACTTTCTGGCCTGATACGTCCTTCCCTTCCTTTACTTGTCCACCTCCTCTCTGGTCTCCTTCCTCACCTGTTCCGCAGATAGGTAGATGGTAGATAGATGGATGGAGGTATGGATGGATGGATGGATGGATGGATGGATGGATGGATGGATGGTGGATGGATGGTGGATGGATGGATGGATGGGTAGATGATAGATGGATGGATGGATAGATGATGGATGGATGGATAGATAGATAGATGGATAGATAGATAGATAGATAGATAGATAGATAGATAGATAGATAGATAGATAGATAGATAGATAGATCATACATTCACACATAGACAGAGTTCAGGCTCTGGAGCCTTTACCCTGTGTGTGTCCCGACCTCCCCTGGGCTGCCTGGCCCCATCATGGCCTCTCCTGGTGATACTGGGCCCAGCAGCAGAGGGAGGTCTTAGCAGCTGCTCAGGGAGCAGGACTCAGGTGTGTTCCGTGAGACCTGTCTGCCCCTGGCCTTGGTGCCCACGTGTTGGATGCGTGATTGCCATTTGATCCAATAATGCAGGGAGGAGAAATCCCTTTACCTGCCCAACAGTGGCCAGAAGAAAAGTCCAGTGACCACCTGGGCCGGGGCGGGTCCGCACACACATACCAGGCTGTCCATGCTCCTGCCCACCACAGCTCCCTTCCTGCTGCTGAGGTCAGATCACAGCCTTCGACTCTGGCTAGCACAGGACACCCCTGAGCTGCTGGAGGCCTGGACAGCTGGGGTGGGTAGGGGATGGACACAGACAGAGCACCAGGTCACAGAGTGACAGCCATGCCCATGACGTGCCCCTCAGGGAAGCTCTCCCTCCGGAGGGGACCCTGCCCCAAACTCAAGAGAACCCTCTGCACGCTCGTGATGCCCAGGCCGGGCGCGCCGAGCCCAGCAGGGCCGGGCCGGGAGGACTCGCATCAGGGCTGCTCAGCTAATGGCGTCTCGCAGGACGGAGTCACTGAGCCGTGACGCAGGACTGTTTGCAGGGGGACAAGAGAGAACTCGCCACTCTGTGTCGGGAAATGCTCTATAAAATTAGATCCGAATAAAAAGGTTAAGAAAAATTCGAAAATGGCATCTGAAAGTCAATTTGTGCAAGCCAAGGAGAGATGGAAGTCTTAACTGTTGGTCCTGTGGTGGGACATCTTTGGTCCTCTGTGGTGGGACATCCTTTGGAAATAGTCTTTGCAGGTGATAGTTAGAACAAGGCCTCTGTATGGGTCCCCAGGGGACAGGACACAGCCCCACACTGGAAGAATGCCATGTGAAAATAAAGGCCTAGAAAAGGTGGTGTGCCCACAAGCCAAGGAACCACAAGGCTTGCCTGCTGCCTGGAGCTGGACGGGGTCTGGGCAGGCTCCCAGCCCCACCGGCTCTCCGCCCGGCTCCTGACTTCCAGGCCAGGAGAGGGGCCTGCAGACGGAGCCCGCCCCTGTGGGCCCAGCATCCTGAGCGATTCCTCCTGTATGGCATGGAAAGGTGGGTGCAGCATAGTTTGCCCGCCCTGTCCACCCATGCCCAGGAGAAAGTTCTCCAGGTCCCAGGTCAGGGCCACTGGCTTCCCCCTGCCCTGTTGTCTTTCGTGGCTGGTAAAAGTGCCCCTGCCCTCGGCTGACCTCCACCCATGCCCAGGGTCTACGGGAGCTCCTTTGGCCCTGCCTGCCCAGGACCGGAGGCCAGACACAAACCTCCAACACAGGGGGATATTTTGTTTCAGTGGAAGACTACGATTTCCCTTCTGTTCTATAAATATATCCAGCACGGGCTTTGGAGGCCCTGTGTGGGCTCCGGGTTTGGAGACCCTGTGTAGGTGCTGGGTTTGGGACAGGAGAGTGGGTCAAGCCACTGGTCCCCGCTGACAGGGCAGGTCTGGGACCCTGTCCCAGGTCAGCCTGCTTTGGGAAAAGCTGTCTCCAGGTCAGGCTTCCCGGTCCCTGGGCCCCATGGTCTCCGCGGGCTGTGTGCATGTTTACTTGGTCACTTCTGGGAATGGCTGCGGCGGAAACAGCCCTGGCCCCAGCCTGAGAGAGCAGCCCCCAGGCTCATCATGCCCAGCTGTGCTTCTCTTCAGAGCCTGCTTTCTGTGAACGACTCTACTCAGAGAAAACCCAAGGAAATCTCTCCCTCCCTCCTTCCCTCCTTTAATCCCAAACCAGTTTGTCAGCCGGCCTCAATGTCCTCGAGAGCAGCCGGTGGTCCGGATGGCTCTGGGGGCGTGTGCGCACCGCACCAATGGCTCTGGCGGCATGTCCGCACCGCACCGCACCGATGGCTCTGGGGGCGTGTCCGCACCGCACCGATGGCTCTGTCGGCGTGTCCGCACCGCACCGATGGCTCTGTCGGCATGTCCGCACCGCACCGATGGCTCTGTCGGCATGTCCGCACCGCACCGCACCGATGGCTCTGGGGGCATGTCCGCACCGCACCGATGGCTCTGGGGGCATGTCCGCACCGCACCGATGGCTCTGTCGGCGTGTCCGCACCGCACCGATGGCTCTGGGGGCGTGTCCGCAC